TCGGGGCTGGGAGTGCCAAATCCCAAGTGCCGGAAAGATCGACCCGTAGCCCCCCTTCCCTGTTGAGGGTGGGGTTGTACATTCTTTCATATATTGCCTCTTTAACACCCCGTTCCCACCAGCTTGTTTCGCGGTCTAAGACATCCGTGGACTCGAGTTTGAAAGAGTGACCCTGGTTGTGTTGTAGGTGGTGGAAAATGGCTGAGGAGTAGCCGTTGGCACTAGGTCGGCAATGTTCTTTGTACCTTACTTTAAGCGGTCGGCTTGTCTCTCCGATGTAGGTGTTGTTACAGTTGGGCTCCTCACATTTGAGTCTGTAAATAACATTCGCCTTGGTACCCTTGTGAGGTCGGTCCTTAGGGTGTACCAGTCTTTGTCTGAGGGTTGAGTGAGGTTTGAAGTTAGTGGCTATGTTGAAGTTTTGGAAGATCCGTCGGAGTTTTTCAGATACTCCTTGGACATACGGAATAGTGATGTTGGCCTTGTTTTTGTTGGTCAATGGTTTGCACTTCTGGGTTTTCTTAGACTGATCTGAAGGTTTGAGCGCTTTGTTGAAAGTCCAGTTTTGGTAGCCACATTTAGCCAGGGCACCTCGGAGGTGTCTATGTTCGTCCGTTTTGGCTTGGTCTGAAGTGACAATGTTGTCTGCACGATGGAAGAGAGTTTTGATCACTGCTAGTTTGTGTTCCAAAGGGTGGTGGGAATCAAAGGCCAGGTACTGATCAGTGTGGGTTGGTTTCCTGTACACTTCGAAACGGAGGTTACCATCTTCCTCTACGATAGTTTTGGTGTCTAGAAAAGGGAGCATGTTGTCATGGCTTGGCTCCTGTGTAAACTTGATGTTGTCATCTATCTGGTTGATGTGGTCAAAGAAGTCAGCAGCTACCCTCTTTTTCAATCTGCACCAAGTGTCATCTACATATCGAAACCAGTTGGCCGGGGAAGTGTCATTGAAAGTGCTGAGGGCTTTGTTTTCAAACTTCTCCATGTACAGGTTTACCACAATTGGTGAAACTGGTGATCCCATAGCACAGCCGTGCATCTGTTGGTAGAACTGTCCTTTGTAGGTAAAGTATGTGCATCCTAAGCAGAGTTCTAGTAGCTCACAAACTTGGTCAACGGATAGGTTGGTTCTATCTATTTGTCTTCACTTTATTTGCATATCAATCAACAGGCTGTGTATATAAACCTGCTTTCCCCTCTGGTCTCTCAGTCACTGACGAAAGCTAGTGGATACTAGCTGAAACGTCTGACGTTTTCAAAATCATATCCAGTTGCTTGAGTAACTGTTTTTTGGCTATCGTATTACCTGGATGTCTAACCTTCATCGACGTATTTTTGTAATAGTTATTGTATGAATCACGTGAAAGCAAGGATAACACATGTTATCACCACAGTATGGGGCGACATGTAGAATAGCTGGAGCCTGAGATAACTTCAGTATTGGAGTCACTTTCCTTATTACTTATGACCCCTGTACCTGATCCTGCTCACTTTCAATTACTCAATCTCCAACAGTTATGCCAGAGTCATTCTCAATGTGCTCCAGTGTAAGATCAGGGTCATCTCATTTGGAAAGTGGTGTCTGGAAATACATATTGCCATGCCAAGCTTCGTGAAGTACAATGCATATCTAAGTGATGCCCCTACATGTACATTATGTATGATTTGTTTAGCAATGGTAATGATGCATTTTCTACGTTTGACATACACAGCCAACAACGAATAACTTTTAAGTACTGGTACCTACAAAATTAACTTATGAACAGTACTTATGATGTGCACTGGCAAAACACATCTTCCCAGGCAGTTTTTTGATCTTTGACTTCTATGTTTGTCAAAGTGAAGATTATACAGCTGTACTGGATAATTTGTAGTTATTGTACAGATGCATTGTGTACATTAACTATATAGATTTAAGATATGATAGGTGCCAATATTGGTCTATGTGTCTAGAGTTCTGTAGTATTAAACTACATGCATTCCATGTATGTTTTTTTCACTAGAGCTCCAAGCGAGTCCTGCGGTCCAATGAAATCTTCATCCCCCAAAGTGGAACGTTAGACACAACATTGGAGCTGTCCTTCTCACTACAGGTGAGCTGCAAATGCTGTTCATGAATATTTAAGACATATTTTATGGCAAAAGTGAGAGTATCATACATGACTGTATAACATGGAAGTTCATTAAATGTATTCTTAGTTTTTCAATAGAACCTTTTTCTGGGCAAACTTTTTAATCCCCCTTCATAGAATCATACATGTACATTCATGCTATGTAGCACAATTTCATATCCTACATCCAGGGTTGATGGAGTCTTAGCTCAAGAATTATATCCTTTTATTAAAATGGAACACATTAGCTTAATAAATCAGGTATAGAATAGCGATCAGTCAATTACAGTATTATTGACTTAGCAGCAAAAGTTTTACTTGCAAACTTTCAAGGACAATTTGCGTGAGGTGACTGACTTGCCAAAGAAACGTTTCCTCAAAAGAGTAAAGTATTCGCTGTCTGCCCTTCGGGGCTAGATCCCATCCGTCGTTTTCAATAGGTGCCTTCGGAGGGAAGAAGCGTGTGACTCGCTGATAAGATGTAATGTGCCTTCCCTCAATAACTGCGAAACGGGAAGTCTTCCCCAGAGGTGCTTTACACAAAAGTGTGCCTGTGAATGGCAGATTACATGCACGGTGCTGTAGCCGTGTGCTCAATCACAAGACGCCTGAAATAAATCCGGTAAACCTCTGGCATGAAAAATTGTACGCGGGATAATCCCTGCTTGGATAATTCCTTTGGAGTACCGCAAGTTTTTCTGCTGACTTGTTATAGAGTGTTTGCAAGCCACGTCTCATAAAACTGTATGTAACGTGGTGATTTCCTGTTAATTGAAAAATTTGAATCACTGAAGGCTCGAAACTCGACTTGCTTAATGCCAGTAAAATTGGAGCTGTCACACTGTAGGACCTCCTGCACTTTACCTGCACTGGTCCAAGATGAAACCTGGAGTGTTGTATGTATTGGCTCTACAGTAATGTTTCCCTTGTGATTGGTATGAAGCCAAGACTGTAGAAATTGTGATAGCAAAGGAACATTGGACCGTCTGTCTTTGTTATAACAAACATTGCCTCCTGCCGGGCTGTTGGAGCGTGGCCAAGTGTTGTAACCGGACTGTCCAAGTGTGACTTGATTCATTTCTTAAACTGAAGTAGACAGATGCTCTCAGATAAGGGAAAGGCTAGCCTGCTTCAGATGAAGTGGATACTTAAGACTGATTTATGCTGGATGAGATAGAAAAGTCCAATATCACAAAAGAACATGCCAACCAATGCAAGTTATTTGTCACTGTGCCATAACTTCAGAGTACACCACTTTGCTTAGACTCTTAGAAGTTGTAGTAGTGGTGTTTTTCCATTTTTCATCAGCAAACTTGTGTAATAGATGGTGCACGTGTCCTGTGAGTATTTTGTTGTTGAAAGTAAAATAAAGTCAAAATTTAATCAGCAAATATAAGATACCACAAACTTTTGATTTTCACTGTGCTGCTAAGTGTGTTACGTACTTAAACCTAGTTTAAACAGTAGATACCCTACCTATGAAACTTTATGCAGCTAAGAACCTGCAGCTAAAATTTATGAGACCAATAAACATCTGAGTTTGTTAGCTGTAGGAGAAAAGCAAACAAAACTTTTTAAAACTTTATTTGCTACCTTTGTTAGCTTGTATTACCTGTTGGTTCAATGATATACACATGATATATATTTTTTGCAGTATCCCCACTTCTTAAAGAGAGACAGTAACAAGCTCCAGATCATGCTGCAGAGAAGAAAACGGTACAAGAACAGGCCGGTTCTGGGCTTCAAGACCCTGGCCGTGGGGCTGGTCAACATGGCACAGGTGAGACAACTATCTTCTTAACCTGGAAAATGTACAGATGCACCACCAACTATACTATTAGATAAATTGCTGTACCACACTTTTACATAATATTGACAGCTATTTGTTGTTTCTTCTTCAAGGAAACTACCTTAAAAGACAGAATTCTTTGAGAAGTTGTTTTTTGATAGTACGATTGTGGAAACAGATAAGCAAGGTTACAAGTTGAAATCCTGGATACCCTGGAAAGCTGTTGTTGGCATGCATGAGCCAGGAATATTTCTAATTTTGGGATGGCTTTCAGTGAAGGTCACATCATTAGTAAGATGGCACAGCAGTATCATGTTGGGCTCAGTAGAGCATGACAAAAGAGATTGTGTGATTCTACTGTCCTTGTACAGGAGCGTGACCCCACTTATACTCTCCCCGCTGCCAGCGAATATTTATTGGAAAAATTGCCCTCTCGAGGGAGGTCTAGGTTGATGTTCTACTCCGCGGATGTAATTGATTTTTGCCAGGGCATGGAGAGTCACCGCATCACAGTATCACACTACAGCTAGCATTTATGTATACCCTTTGTTTTTTAGATATACAAAAAGTTCATGACAGTGTTTTTCAAGTGTAATGATTGGAATTCCATGGGTACCACATTAGAAAAACTCTACCAAATGCATCTTGATAACACCTTTTTTTAAATGTGTCGGCAGAATATTATGAAAGTTTCCGCTATGTGAAAAGGACACTGAATCTTCCTTTAGAAAGTTTTCTTGTTTTCTGAATAAATCTACAAACCATGGCTCAGTTTTTCAACTATGGTCTTAGAATGTCATCTAGTGAATCAGTCTTCTTTTGCCTGTAAAAGGATTACTTAGGTAAGCAGATTTTAAGGGCAAAAGCTTTCACGCTGAAACAGATTCCTGGCATGTTAGAGTCCATGCAGATTATTTCCAACTTTGTCAACTTCTGATAAAACTAAGCCTACAGGACTGACAAATGTGATGACATTAGCTGAATGCCATTATACGCTATCAGTGTCAAACAACACTGCGAGTAGTGCTATCTTTAACTATTTACTTGATTTGCCTAGAGGCTGGCTCCCAAGGAATTTGTCTCATAAATCACCTAAAAGTTCTTCAGAAACTTCTCAGACTCTCTGCTGCATAAGATATAGACCTTGGGATTTTCTTCTCAGAATGATTTTGCATAATCTAAATGTTCAATTTCTATACTAGTAGGGATATGGGAAGGGTAAAAATTCTATGACCTTGTTTGCATGTGTATATGGCTTAGCAGTGTTGTGTTTCATAAAAGAGATTTTGCATAGATATGGATGTCCTTACTTTGTCCTTGGTGCTGAAAATGCAGCAGAACAGACTGAGGTTCACTCCGCTGGCTGGAACCTATAATCATTGGCCTTCTCTCCTCTCCTCAGAAGAGACGGCTAGTGTGTAATTAGAAGATGAAACAGCAGGCCCAATTGCAACCTTGGGTCTCCTTAAAGCCACAGCCTATCTCATTCATCACTGAGGGAAAGAGTTGGGGAAGTCTACACATCTATAGATTGTTTGCCACAGCCTCCCCTCCCCTCAACTGCTATCATGTTCAATTCAAAAGAAGACTTGCTATGGGAATGTGTTTTTTTTTTTAAAAACATGTTGTTTTCTTTGCAAATTGCCAACTGTGGGACAATCAAATCTAAAGAAACAGTGGTTTAACTTGACGTAGCTCCTAGCTCATAATTCTTGCATATCATCATTCAAGAAATTTGACCTTAGACAAAATGGATGTTGATTGATTTTTCACCCTTGACATATGTTCCAGACCATTATACACAAGCCCATATAATGTTTATGAAGTGTGCTGCCTACTGAAGCATGTATTACATAAAGGCAAACAGAGCAAAGAAACATCATTTGTCAATATAATTAAGACAGCCCAGGGATCTGTGGAGGCTTTTTATTTCCAATTTCAAAGAAATCCACATCCTGAAAGGATGGAGATATGTTTTATGGGTGCCTGAAAAATTGATTGATGTTAAGCATGTTGCAAGCATAACTCAAGGTCATTGCTGCATTGCAGAGATGAAAAATATCATTTGTTCAGCTGCAGTACATGCCATTGTGTCAATTCTCTTATAAAGAAAATATAGTTTGTTCCCTTCCCTCAGCAGATATGATAGCTTATATCAAATATTTCTGGTCCAGTTTTCCTACAAAAGCTAGAGAATATGTTTGTATGGCATGCACGTATTCATGAATGAATTATTTCTTTTTCTCTACTCCAGAACAACTGAGATTCTAATCTTGCAGCTACAGTGATCAAATATACTTACAAAATTATATCATTACAGATATACTCCGTACACCGTATTATGTATTAATTCATTAAGCTAAAATAATTATCATTATGTAGCGTTGTAGCAGCCTTTTTCCTTGTAACAAAGTAACAATTTTGAAATTAAAACATATTTCATGGAGTCAGAGATATGTCAGATGGTCCTGTTCTAGATCTCTTTATCAGCTTATCACTGTAACTGCAAGCACATCTAAAAACTTTATTTTCCAGTCTGCTAGGAAAGGAAATGTGATAACAAGATATCATTCTGCGATTACAAATCCATCCACTGATTAATAACAGTTGCCTTCCAAGGGTATCGTATTACCTAACGTTATCAGACTGTGATGTCCCAATCTATTACCCACCAATGTGTGTGATCAGAGAGGTGTGTAATATGTGCTGTAAAACTTCTCTACCCATCTCTGGGGCCTGGGGTGTCATTAAGGAGTCATCATTGTCTGCACCAGCAAGTTCAAGGTAAAATTAGCCTCACAGAATATGGAGTAGTGAATTGTTCCAGAAGTTATGTGAGAAATGTGGTGGTGTTTTTTTTCTAAAGGTTGAAGTTGTATGTGCTATTAACTTTCTTTATGTATCATTTATTAGAGTTGAATATACATGTCATGTATCTCTGAACAGGTACACTTTTGGGCTGGCAAGATTTCTTCTTCTGATATTTTGCAAATAATCAGGTACATGCACTATCAGGAAGACTACATAATGATATTTATTAAGCCAAACCTTCCACAAAATCCTTAAACTGATGAAAAGGCACGCCTTGAATAATTTGCAACAATACACTTGAAAAAGACATACATGTACTTTACATTGATTGATGATTTTTAGCCGTTGCCATGTGCCAATATTTTGCCCGTTAAGTACGCAATGTACAACATTGAAGTGTCAATAGAACTTACTACTTTGTAATCATGCAACATTTTGGGTACCATAATATTATACATATCAACCCAGCATATGAATGGCTCAAACAGTTATCCCATGTAAAAAGTTGCTAAAGAACATTTGTAACAGCAATGAAACCAGCAGCTGCCATAAACCAGATAGCCGAATCCATACTTTGGGAAACCAAAGGACATTCCAATGACAATGTCATTCAGCCCTCCCTTTGTCCCCAACGTTTCAGGCACTAGGAGTGAAAATGGGTGGTATAGCTCATCAGAAATGGCAGTTGAAGAAAGGGGATATATTGATTATGTGCCGTTGCAGACAGGATGGTAGTTGGTAACGTGTTCGCAGCACGTCCCAGAGGGCTGTGCTGTATAGTTAACGGTGCAGTCTCGGTATGTCACCTTGCAAAATGTCTGTGCAGACAAACGATGGTTCAAAAACTGTTACATCTGTAATTAATCATGTCACAAGCAAATATAACGTTTCCTCTGTTGGACCTCTTTACTCCGATATGCTCTTCTTTCTTAAAAGTGCTTGAATAATGTATATTTAGGTAGCCTTTGACCCCCTGAAATGTGAAAATGACAAAAAGCCAAAACTTCAGAATTCTGACAGTTGGTATACTTGATGCCTCAGCATAAGGGCACAACATAGCATCAGACAATTGTGTTACCAACCCGACCATGGAGGGACAGAGGGTGATGCGGGATTCCCCGTGTGGATCTATACAGCATGTATCACAAGGTACCAAACTGTTTGCACATTCGAACAAAGATTTATTTTGAATCTCCTCTCATGCAACACTACAAATTCCGTTTTACCCAGGTACTACAGAGACCAATGGACAGTGACTTGACCATGTACAGCAAAGAGAGCAAGTCCCACGTCGCAGCGGTCAGGATCGTCGCCATGTCCAGTCAGCCAGTCGATCACGAGGAAGGTGCAACAGGCGGGAGGAGAAAAGCCGAGTCCACCGGTAAATGTTTTTCTACATTAAACCTTGTCAGCGTCTTATTCTTGAGGCCCTTTCTCTATGTCACTGTTACACTCCAATGTTTATTCATATCATACTGCATATATATATATATATATATATATATATATATATATATATATATATATATATATATATATATATATAGGGACTTTTATTCTTATGTTTGTTTGGGCCATGGTACAAAATTGGACCCACCTTCTGTTCTGATTGTCCTTGTAAGAACAGGTTGATCATTTGTTCTTAGCAGTCTGAAGTTTCTAAAAGTTGCAATGTCCGCAGCTATATTGTACATGAGGAACATTTGTATCAGGGGGGCAGGAATGAGAGGGTAAAGAAAGACTGGAAATAAATAATTGATAATAGCACAGACATGATGAAAACAGGGAAAGTTTCCTTCATTCTACCTCATGTCTTGTACGTCTGTCGATCATCAACTCAGTGTATGTGATAACATGTTAACTAATCATAATGCATAGCTGTAGATACTACTGTACTTCGAGAAGACATACTTGTAGTCCACTTATAGGAAGAGGACTAGCTATTAGTCTTTAGTGTTTACCTGTCAAGTGTCTGAGAAAGCGGATATCGAACTCACAAGCCGGAGTGGTCCGTTGTGTAGGTGAACGTCGCTTCAGCCTGCTCACCCCCTCCGACTTGTACCAGCACTACATGTTGCGGAAGTCGGGGGGAGACCTGGCCACTCCCGACGTCAGTAACTTCTGGGAGAACGGACCCACCAATGACCCAATATCGGACGGGGACAATGGTGAACCCGACATGGACTCAGCGTTTACGCTAGGTTGGTCGCAACCAAATCCCTGAGCCGACATATGCATTATATAGATATATACCAGATTTACTAACAATGTTTTTTTTTCTTCCTTTTTTTCCTTCCTATTTCCCTCTTATCATCAACCTTGTTTCTGTGATTTTTTTCTCCTTATATGTTGTCTTGCTTGGGGAATTGTCCTGACTTTGTTGGGGTGTTTTTTACCCTCTTTCATCTCATCTAAAATTATCTACCTTTTAACTCCTTTGCAACATTTCTCACATGATCACACATCACACTTTGAATTACTCTACAATGGTGATCTCACTTGTGCTTTGTTTGTTCATTGCCTGTCATCTCCCAATTTCCCCCCATGTTTTGTATGTGACTTGCTTTTGTTTGTGGTCTTGTTGTTTACTTCTTGGTGCTTCTTTTGTTCATCAACGTCATTTTCATTCTTCTTTGCGCAATGTTCTTTTCCTTGTTGTACGTATTTATAATTTTTGTTTTGTTAACCCTTTGCACCTTGTGCTCCCCTCTGACCTTTATCCCTTTAACCTTTGCACCTTGTGCTCCCCTCTGACCTTTATCCCTGTCACCTTTGCACCCTGTGCTCCCTTTTGACCTCTATCCCGTTCACCCTGTTCTCCCTTGCTGCCTCTGACCTCCTACTTTGGTCTGTCATGTGTCTCTCACGATCTCGCAGCAGACAGATCGCCGGGCGAGGACAACGAGAGTGATGAAGACGACGAGTTCTTCTCCTCGGACCAGGAGGGGAGCGACAGCGAGGGCAACATCGGAGGAGCGCAGGTCAGCTTCAACCTGGATCTCTAACTTTATTATTACATCCTTAAAGTTGGATATCATTAACAGATCCTTACGGTCGGATGTCTTTAACATGTCCTTAAATTTGGATATCTTAAACATGTCCTTTAAGTTGGATATCATCAACACATTTTTTTTAGATGAATTTCTTTTAATCAACGTTAGATGTCTGGAACATGCCCTTAAGTTAATGTTGGATATCTTTAACGTGTATGATAAACACACTGCAGTTGCTTCCACTAGTACTATACCATTCAATCCTCTTATATATTGTAGATCAGAGTTACCAAACTCTATTATAGGATAACCAAGTTACAAAACTTATCAACAGTATACGATGTACAGATCCCTACAGAGAAATAACCATACTGCATGCTAAGAAGAAAAATCTCCTGCCTCCTTGTCACAAAATGCCATTAAAAGATTACCATCTCTGTGGAACGTGGCAGCTGAGGTTCGACCTTGCCATACATACATTTTTGTAAGTATGGGTGGCACAATTAAGGGAACATCACCTTGAAAATAATACCTTCAGATAGCCATTAATATTCTCGGCAGGTACCGGTATTAAATTATGGGTTTCTAAGGATCTTGTTTCATGCAAAGAGACTGCGCCATAGCGTAATGGGAAAACATTCGCAAAATCCCTTGAGGAATGAGTTTGAACCCGCAATCCCAGATTTATGATAGATGACAGTTTTTACACCATGCCTCGTTTCTTATATGCTATCAAAACAGGAATCCAAGCAAAGCCAAACTTATACAAACCCACCCTTGTACAGTTGTACTTGTACAATTTTCTGTAGAGTGTAGATTTCAGCATCTTTATGGACTTGAGTAACTCGTGCTTGAAATCAGAAGGGACGATCTACAGCCCTTGAAATTGACCTTACAAGGTGACTAGGCTTTAAAAGGTATTAGGAGAAGGCAATGCCCAAACAGCCATTTCATATGGAGCACAAAGGGACCAGACTTACAGGTGGAAACAAAGGGACCCAGGTGTTGAAGTGTGACAAGAGAATTATTACTCCTTTTTAGCATGTTACCTACAGCAGGTGCAGTGTCAAGTGTTTGACTTCCAGAATACATAATATATAGACAGCAGAACATCATTTGTGTGGCCATGGCTTTGGAGGCTTAAGCACACACGGATGGTTGCAGAATGCTTGATGGTAGCAATCTCAGACGACTTATACCGGGGGGCCTACAATGGGTAATGGCTAGCTTTCATGTACTGCTAGCATGCATGATATGGGAGAAAGTTTTATTCTGTGGGAATTGTAATAATCCTGTAAGCATGATGATGTACAAAATAATATGCACTGTAAAACAAATGATAATTGTAAATGACTAGAACAAAGGCGTAGGGTTGTTTGATTTACAGAATACATGTACACCAGCTCTGTATCCATGGCATGTGCTCCATTACTTGTAGATAGCCCTGGCAAATTGGGACTTTAAAAAGGCATTCTCCCTAGCAACCAGCTTCTTTCTGTTCCTCCTTGCAAAGCCAGGCTGTACATTACCAATGGCAACCATTACAGTATATGAAGTGATCTGTAGCTGAGATGATGATAACGGCACTAGATAACACAGTGTTACCCTGTTTCAGGGAACATCATTGCTGATAGCTAAGATTCTTGACCTATGAATGGACCGCCTTTCGGCACTGAAAAAGAATTGATCAAGAAAAACAGTTACCATATGTTTCCAAATTGTGACTGGATACCATACTGCAGAAATGTATTGTACCATTGGAAGCAAACTTTATTTCAATGTGTATAATTAATCACATGTACCCTGTTGGTATATAATGCTTGAGATATGCTATGACCGCCACACATTAAAAACTGCTTTATGTTTTTTCTCTTGCTCATGGTAGGACCTCCTTGACGAAGATGCGGAAAATATCCGAGGCAAGAAATCTGGTCGTAGAAAAGTGTGGCCTACCCTGAGTAGGGTAAGTGCTGGGGGTCTGTCTAGTGTAAGATTTTGAATGTCATAACAACAAAAAAGACTGAAGTCAAAAACTATCTAGACTAGACTATATTTGCATAATATTTGTATATCGTACTGGATGTCAAAGTTGCTTTACGTGTACCTCTAGGTGTTATTTTACACAAAAGGAAAAAAAATTGTCTCATGAAACTTGAAGTGCATAATCTCAAAAACATTTTGTAAACCAATACACTCACATGTGCATGTACAACTTGTGCATACATACATGTACTATATCATAAAGCTCATCATACCAAAGTTTTGAACACGAAGTTTATTCCGTTACAATGTATGTGAATGTTAAGGGTCCACTTTATTTATAATTGCTTACGAAGCAACACCCCAGGTCCCCTATCATCCCAGCTTGATACTTTAAGCCTCTTCTGTACCTTCATTATTGGTGCTATCAAGATCTGGCTTTTCAACTCCAGAACCCTCGGGGGACTTGTGTGGAATCTCTGATGACTACCCAAGGAGTCTAAACTGTCAGATCTAATTATAGTCAGGATACTAATTGGCTTTTTTCTGCTGTGAGCACAGTATGAGCTTTAGGAGTATAACAAGCTAGAAGTAATGTGATTTCTGCAGAATTTGAGGTAGTTAGGTAGACTGCTCTGTTGGACAGCATTCATCCAATGGCTACAAATTCACATGTCTGCCAGCCCTACTGATGTAGGATTACAGCTGCAAGTGCAAATGCATATAAATGGACAATTTGTCTTTCTGTGACACAAAAATTCACTTTCTGATGGATTGAGGGGAACTTACAATGGCACAGTGATCAATCTATTAATTAAAAAGTTGATAGCTTAATGCAATGGTTTACTGTTATCAGTGTATCAAGAAACTTTAATTAAAAGGCCCAGTATACAGGACTCTGATAACCACTGTCACACCTTAGTCCTCTGTTTGACTTATTATAGCAGCTGTTAAAGAAAAAAAGAAAAACTGTTTAGAGTTCAGAGATGAAAAAAACATCATGGCATAACATGGTACATTCTAATCTGTATTATCAGTTTTAACAATAATTTTTTTTGCAATGTCTTCTTGCAGCAAAGAAACTTCAAACAGAAGTTCATTGCTCTGCTGAAGAAGTTCAAAGTCCCAGATGAGGTGGGTTTTTCTTCAAGCTATCTGCAACATCATGCTTTATAATTATTTAAAAAACATACTAGATAATAGTTACTCAGCTTTCCTTTAATTATCCCTGCAACTGCATACTTGTCAAATCTGTTTTGTATGTCAAGTACTTTTTAAGCTGTGTAAGATCTGATAGATAGGTTTGATCCACTCGATCACACTGGGAAGGACTCTTACTTTTTACTCATATATACAAAAATTAATGTAACATGCTTAGGATGTGGACCTTTGGTTTACGACCCATCCAACATGACATCAAAGTGTTTGTACAATTATAGTTGCAGTCATGAAAGGGCAGATATTTCCTGCACAGGTGTTGGACTCGGAAGCAGACCAGTATGCAGAACAGGAGGGCCACGCCCGTGACATAGACGAGGAGCTGGACCTGTACAACATCGATGACCTGGACCTGAGTGACAGTGGGCAGGAGATAGATGACAACACCTCCATCATCTCAACACCCAAACCTAGTCTCAGGTTAGTAGGGCACAGAGTCAAGTTTCACTACCCAAACCAAGCCTCAGGTTAGTCAGGCACAGATTTAACTTTCAGAAACCAAACCAAGCCTTAGATTCAAGTTTCAAAACCCAAAATGTTGATGGGAACTTTTTCATACAGTTCTTTATTAAACTGTATTACCCCAACATACAGTTTTAGTGCATATGTAGACTCTTTGCAGTGTGGTATTTGAAATGTTGGGTCAGTTCTATGCCTATATCTCCATTGATTGTTCACTTCCATTCTTTTCTCTGTTATTTTTTAGACCCTTCTTCTCCCAAGGTGTGCACACCATTTCTCAAGAAATTCCTCAGACTCAGGTGAGCACAGACAGATTATTGTTGAACCCACAGTTTTCCTTGAAGGCATGTCTAGATCTCCCATGATGAGACGATATTTTTGAAGTGTACAGGATCTATTAGGATTTATTTTACACATGTTGGCCTGACAGCGATGGTCTGTACAGACCAGCTGCAACCAAAGATAAGGCAACAACAGGATTAAGGTGGATGTGAATTCTGAAGTACCGTGATTGTATACATGTAGATGTACAATGTATAGCCACACAGAAACGAAACATCTTACATAAAGCTATATGCAAGTTTTCATTTGTTAGGGTTTACTTGGAATAGCTATTGCATAAAAATGTATATGATAATAATGAAGACATGGCAAGGTCATGTATATACATTATGTATGTCATAATCCTGAATGATATAGATTACATGTACTTGTGGTATAACAAGATTTATCTTGAATATGTAACAACCATGCTGCCACTAACTTAAAAATCTCACAAATGTCACTTGTTACCTTTCCTTACTCAAATGAATGTGTTTTTCACGCAAGGTAAAATGTTCGGTTTTTCTGTCAGATATCAAAATCAAATGTACTGTATGGCCAGTCTTCCTTGTCCACAGTTTTTTTTTTTTTCACAGGCAGTTTTGTCAACATTGTACATTTTGTAAACAGTAAAAAAGTAAGGATGACTAAAATGTAAATAAACAAGTGCAACTGACCATGGGATATTCTCACTAGTGTGCTTGTCACTGTTTATGTACTGGCATGTCTATTCTGCACTGTTCCTGGTCAACTTGAGTAAACAATTCTGAATGACCTAAACACTGCTCGTATGCAGTACATGAAGGTATGAATGTTTGTGGTGTGTATTTAATTGTTACTAACCATGGCTGATGGGCTATCTACTACAGGTGATGGACATAAGTGATGACGTTGGTCTGAGACCTGAGACAGAAGGCCTGCAGGTACTGACTCACCCTACCCTGCTCTCCCTACACCTCAACCTTACCACACACAAACACACACACACACACAACTCTATATACCCCCACCCTCCCATTTATCAGCAGAAAGTGAAGTAATTGGCTTGTAGTTGACTTTCTTAGACTGCTGTAGTAGGTTATTGTTGAAAACGACGTACATAAGTGTACATAAACACGACGTACATGTACATAAACATTACAAATACACAAAAATTGTATTTGGCCATTTCACAGTTTTTAATATCTTGTGTGTGGTTGACAGGACCCATCAGGTGATTTGGACACCCACTCTGACATGGGGAGTCCAGCACGGGACAAGAAGATATCACAGAAGTCATTGTCACCACAGGTGTGTCTTCAGTTTGTCCTGTATACAGGTGAAGGTGTACCTGTCACACATTAAGTCTTGTAACCACCACTAACAATACATTATATTATAGGAGGGCAACTTCCAAAGGTGTTTATACACTGTTTTGCCCTTTCTTCCACTTGTGTTTCTTGTGGTGAATTCAAATAAATAACTGTACTGCATATTGCAGAATGCATTGATTCCAAAAATATAAGGCACAACTGTATTGATACAAAAGATACATCATCATCTAATTCCCCATATTTTGCCTTTTACGATCACTTACATAAGATTCTAGTCTTTTGTGTTTAAGGTCTGTCTTCAGTGTGCTTAGCAGTGTGCTGTCCTGTATCTGATTCTGAGTGAGTCCTGTACCACAAACTCCAAAGCGTTTTGGAGGTGTGCAGATTATCATTGGCTTCCCTCCAATCCGCAGGCTAAAGAGAGGCCGTCCAGTGCCAGTAGAGAACGCAGCATCTCCATGAGGGAGAGGAAAGTCACCTCCAAAGACATGGCCAGGGAGAGAAGAAACAGTACAGGGCTACCCGAAGCACAGGTTTGTATCATAGCTGCACTGCTGTAGTAGTGCTCAGCTACAATAGTTACATGTACTAAGTAGTCTGTAAAACTTTAACCCTTCAACTAAAGGAGATTAGTCCTTCTATTACACATGCCACATCTTAGTATTCTTCCACATCCAAAATTAACCAGATTTTCCTAGGGATAAAGACAGTACAGCTACCCTTTGCACACTGTAAGCTGCACATACTTACCATTGCCTCTTGATTTCAAATAGCCCCCAGTGATTGGGTTTTGAGATGGCCCCTGACCAGGACCTCCCAGGCAGCAGACAGGCTAGTAGGACACATGTAGGAAATTTCTCTCCCTAGAAAGTAGCAGGTTCTCTCCTTAGATAGTAGCAAATAGATTGATTGAAGGTGTTCATGGTGGTGACTTCTCCATGTGTGTGTGTGTGACCAAACTCAGCCAGCCTCCAACACCCCATTACAGATACAGGGTCTCTCATTTTAGTACCTCACTATGTATACACAGTCTCTTATATTACCGTAATATCATGTTTTGTTTGTTTTTGTGTGCTCACAACAGGGTGGAAGGAGAGACATAAATGCCAGGAAATTTTCCTGTCCTCCACAGAACTTGTCCTCCTTGGGTGTGGTAAACGAGGTATACTCCTTAACAGTAACAGTTTTGGGTTGTATGGTGGCGGTGCACTGTCCTTACATGGACCAGTTGTTCCATGTGCTTGCTTATTGTGTTGCTTTGACAAATTCCTTTTTTCTTCAGGTGAAAATGAATTCTAGATCTGTTCATGTCATAGCAAAAATCTATTGAAACTAACCATGGTTTCATATCACATTTTGTGTGACTACATGTATACAATGTCATGTACAATGTACATCAAGCCACCATTTTATTTATCCTATTGATCACGCTATCCCCATGTTTTTCCTCACTACATCTAACATTCTATTGAAGTTATGTGTTCACTTATTCATTGCTGTTGTTGTTGCATTACATTATTTTGTATCTGTTCTTTTTTATCCATTCATTATTATGAGTATTAACTTCAAACTGAAGCATGCCCCAAGAATGCAGCAGTCTACAACTTACAGGGTTTTACACATCATGTCACAACTGCCATGCTGATTGGTTGATGGGGGCAGCCTTAAAAATTTGCATCAAGTAAAATGACAAAATTGTGTGCCTATTTACACAAAATTATACAAAATTATTCAATTTCACCCGGCAACATCCAGCATGGTAGACAATTCTTACTTGTATGTCATAGCATGGTCATAGTCACTGTAAGTCACATGAATGCTAACACCTTACAAGAACGTAATACTCACTATCGTTATCCCTGTCACTGTGTGCTCAATAGACAACAGAAGTCCGCAACATCACAGACTCAAGAAAGATGTCTGCCCCAACCCACCTGATATCTAATGCTTCTCAGTATGACAAGGTAGAAACTTCCACAAAGAACACAACACTATGTCAAGAAGCTTACAGTTACTCAGGGCTTGTCTGTTCTTTCATTGCTGAATGTTCCAAGGGTGTCTTGTTTCTTCAAGCTGTTTTTCACATTCCTTTGAGCCGTTCATGAAAATCTTTTCTTTATTCTATTAGTAATACTTACATTCAATCATGCTCTGGTGGTAGCTTTAGAATAAAACCACTTATTACTATTATAATGAGTGTTATTCCCCACATTTTAGTGCTTTTAAAAGTTCTGAAGAGTACATGTATTTGTCATTTAAGCTGTCACCCATATGGAAAATGGCCTTGTTTCAAACATTGGTGTAAAGGAAATGAAGCAGTAGGTATAGAAACTGAAGGAATAGAGCATGACACAATAGTTCAGATTTCTTTTGGTCTCAGTTTGAAGTGATCGAAATGCCACAGCAAGTTAATTTTATGAATAACATTGATTTTTGCCTGATTTGAAAGAAAAAGAAAAGAAATTCTGTTCCCCTCCACTGATGGTCAACATTTTTGCCCATCTTGCTTTTTTTTCACGCTCGCATTAGATTTGCAGTCTGCAGAGAACATTGTATGTCATCCCTAAACTTTCCTTGCTGTGCCCTAACTGATGTTTGCTTGCAGAGTGTGGTCAGGAAAACCAAGTCAGGCCCCGGACTGTTGGTGGTACAGGACCAAGTCAGATGGGGCACGGTAAATGTTCAACACAGGGAGCTGGTTCTTCACAACAACATGTAGAAAGTCTTCTCCTCTCACTATGAGACCATTCTTTGATAGACCCTGTTTTGGACAAAGCCCTCCAAACACATGGCTACAGATTGAACACTAAAAATGATCCCGAATACTTCACATCCCAGTCATTTTGGGCATTTTGTCCTGTCATGTGCAGTGAAATAGCCTTTCATGCCATTTGATGCCATAAAACTATATTTAGACAGTCTTATGGGAGTAAATGTAATTTCTAGAAATGAGGAGAGACTTTTCTGCAGTCACTGTTCATGCTAACAACACAGTTGCTGGTTCCACTAACTTACTGTACAGCATGTTGGAGAGGGTTTTTCACAGTCACTGGGGTTCTCTGTTGGTGAATTAACAAGTTGCATATAATAGTACATATATGAAAAGGCAACTTGAAATTGCATTGGTGAATGGTGGAAGGGATCTTACCAGCCTCCTGTACATGAATGTGTGAACATTTTCTGTCGCTATCTACAAATATGATTGCTGAATGTGCAGTTTATTTACAGCAGACAACACCATGTTGATGATCCTGTCACATTTGTCATACAATGGCTCTAAGACAGCAAAATGAGGGCATCCCATTTGGTTCTGTCCTTGTGTAAGTTCAGTCCAAAGCTGTACTGAAAATCCAACCAAAATATATTGTACAACAAATGTGACTGAGCCTTAGGCCTCTTACTGAAATTTGGTGTACACATCTAGTTGGTGTATTTTTTTCCACAGAACTAATATCTGATGTACTGATACCAGTGCACATTTCATTGCTTTTGCCACATTCACCCTATATGGTTCCACTCTAACAAACACTTCTGTCAGGTCCTGGATATTTGATATCTATTCCATTTTTTCCAGGTTCCACACAAGTCGCTGTACGACCAGTTGGCACACATCATCCCCTCAGACGAACACCTCCCTGACAGTGTGGTGCTGGTCAACACAGCAGAGTGGCAGGCACAGGTAAGCTAATATATGCAAATTTATTCATCAAGGGCAGAACCATTCATTTTAGAGGGAAGAATTTTCTCCTTTATTCCGTCATGTTTTTTTAAACCATAGATCCTCCTTTACTATATAGTAAAACCACATTCATGTTCAAAGACTTTTGCTGCAGTGCTGTCTAATTCTAAACACATGGATACCAATAATAACTGACCAATTGAGCTGACTAATTGCTAGCATGAATGATTATTGTATGAATGAATGAATATTGGGTAAATATTGGATGGATGGATAGGTGGATGGATAAATGAATAGAAACATTTTCGACAGCTACAGTTTACTAAAATTAAATGAAGGCTACATTGTCTGCCCCCCTCCAGACCCAACTCCTAGCCCAGAAACTCCAAGAGCTGCACCACAGAGTGGTGTGTACATCCTCACAGGCTGACGTCAATGCCACCTTCTCATTCCTGGTCGCCAAGATACAGAAGTTGTGAGTCAGACTACTGTCATTATAGAAGGAATACATATGTACCATGATATTGTAGTAACACTTAGAAATCTCATGCCATTATCTCTTTGTAGTGAATTTAGTTCTTTTGAGTTTTCACTTTTTAAAAGTCCTGAATCATAGAATTCAGTCTTGTTCTTACATTTTGTAGTTAATTGGGAAATTTCTCATGTCAGGCTGTGGTTTCCATATGTGGAAAATACTCATAGCCATTATGGGCCCTGAAAGACTTTTTTCTGTATACCTGATGTGCAGGTATGATGATGATGATAGCATTTAGAATCACCTTCAACAGTTAGATTTTAGACAGTATGGAAAAAAATACACTAAAAACTTTGTAGAATATATAATTTAATTTGGATTTCCTAACTTGTTTTCATAATAAAATCATGTGTCGTTAAGAACCAACTTGGACAATGGAGCAAGTCTATAAAAATTGATTAACTTGTATGTAACATGAAGTGCCATGTTCCCACAGTTGTAACTTCAACTCCCAGCAGCCCACTCCTATCAGAGTGGTCCTGGTTGGTGGAGAGAGTTACGTCCACGCCATCCTCAGGCCGTATGTCGACCAGTTCTCACAGAAACCACCTGACTGGCAGAACCACATCAAGTTCTACATCGTTCCTCTAGGTAAACCAACATGCCTTTTCCATTGTGTGCACCATTTTTATACCATTCATCAGCATACATGTACATTTACATTCTACAAGTTTCTGTCAAAATTTTATCATAGAGTCAGTTTTCAAATAACAGATACAATACATCTTCTTTTTCTAGATTTATATTATGGCATTATATATTTCTGCTGGCCAAAAATTAGTAGAATTAGAGGTGGAATAGATGTCACTAAATGCATGGGATATATTATTAGGATAAAACTTTTCCATCAAATGTTTCTTCCAAAAGCTTAGACCTCTTGTTGCATATAGATAAAGAATTACATTAAACCTAATATTCCTTTCCACACATATTTTTTCAGGAGGCCATGTCCTTGCTAGGTACCTTGCTTCAATAGACAGCAAGTATAATGCCACCTTCAACGACCAGACATGGAAAGAGGCCTTTGATAAGCCTGACTCATCAACACAACTAGGTCAGTCTCAACTAGAATTAAGTACAACAGACAGTACACATCCTATGTTGGTTTGCTAGAAGGATAACTGGTGCAAAAATTGTAATGGTATACAGTTTTTAGGCTTGACTTTTCCTTGCAGGTGCAAAATGGAATGCAAGTTAATGCTGTCACCATACCATGTTTGAGTTTAGTACTGGGGCTCAAGAGCCCAAAATGATTTATACAATTATTGGTCTGAAAATGGCCCCAAAAAACTAACCCAATGGCCTGCATTTACATGTATGTTGCAGACTACCAGGATGTGATAGGGAAGATCAGTTCTTTTGTCCTGTCGGCTAATGTGACCCACCAGCTGCCCATTGCCGAGGCCATGCTCACGTACAAGGCCAAGGTCACCGACGAGGAGTCCACACAGACCTTCATACCATTTGTTGGGGTAAGCCTTTCTTAACTTATCCTAACATATTGAACCAATCTTGTTATTGTAACTTCAAAAGATTGTGATGACTGACAACATATCAGAATGATGGTCTTTCTGAAGAGTTTGTTCAACATTTTTATCAGCAGCAAGTTCGAATAACAGTTACTGGTGCGATGAAAGCCGCAAAACTCTGCCATTCAAATAATGATGGGGCACATCAAACACTTTACAAAGGATACAAAATAATGTAGCTCCAAAAGAATCCTATGTTGTAATGTCTTGACATTTTTTTAAAAATCTAAATGGCGGTCACTTACAATTTTTAAGGACGTGAGAGTTGGAAGCAGCGAGTCGGCAAACCTGTCCGTGTCGATGGACATGGACGATGGGGTGTCGGGCTCCCCGCAGGTCTCAGCCAGCCTGATGGCAACCCCCACCTCCGCCTCACAACAGGCCATCAAAGACCTGAAGGAGACAGCAACGCCCCCTACCTCTACTTCAGGAAGTCCAGGCCAGTTGCCTCAAAGGTTGGTTAGACTACTGTTATACTGTACCTGAGTGTGTGTACATCTATCATAATAGTTTGCAAATTCCATTGTTTGTTTAGTTTTCTCTCCTGCTATGTTTTGATGCATACTAATAAACAAAAGCTTCTTTCAGTTGTATTTGATTTATTTATACATATCCTGAACCCATAACTATAGGTAAAATCATGATTAGTAAAAGATTCTGAGAGTTAAGTCTGATATTTTCAACTAACATGTGAACATTGCATGTACAATAGCATATTGAGTTTACCCAGTAAACTGCAAGCACTGCTAGTAACACATTTAACCATATTTTGAAGGTTTCATTAAAAAAGTGAGATAACTCTAATGGCTGAATAATTACTAAAGCAATCACTAGTGCATCAATTAACCATGTCAATTAAAGTGACTAAAAGTGCTTACAAAACACTGGTTCCTTTTCCCATGATACTTACAGTACATGCTGAGTGGCTTTAACAATCTCCCACTTGTGCTTTGCGTAGTATGTTTATGCCAATACTGATTTTTCCAGCGAGGGCACACAGGTACAGCCAGCTGATGCCTCGTCAGGCGCGGTGCCCAAAGTTAAGGCACTGGCCATGTACATAAGGTTTGTGTGACACAGTCATGCTCCTGCACTTTATAATGGGAGCTATTAGGGAAGGTGTGCGGTGGTCTCTATCCCTCTCTCCCTCCCTCTCTCTTTAACACTTAAAGTCTCAGGGCTAAGGTTTTATAATCAGCCAGTAACACTTTGATTGTTAAATACAGGACACATCACAGGATACCTGTGACACATCCAAATGTGAACTACGTGTACATATACACACTAAACGGTTTGTCAGATAGTGATATTCTGTGGCATGTTCTGTTCATATGATACCTGACATGTTTTAATCCTTATGTGACAGAAATGGAAAAGAAAACAAAATAGTGTGTGGTATGTGTTTTGGAGTGACAATTTCCTATAAAAGTGCTTATTGAAGTATTGTAGCCTATCATACATTTTGTATGCTGTCATGCCTATGTTGGGCAAAAACACAGGTCAGGTATTACATTTACTATACAAAAGAACCACTGTGATAGGATAGGCACTGAAGTGACCACCTCTGCACTAACAAACCTGTTTCTCCTTGCTGCATAGCCTAACATCCCGGGTTACAAGGTTCCAGATCTCTTACACTTCCTCTCACAGTGTCCTGTTAGATTACACATTCATTTTTCATTGTTTGTGTCCACATACTCATGATAGTTTACACCAAAGACTGGAGATATTCAAAGCAAATTCTTATCCAATTTTTTGCACAGAAAAAATGGGCAGACACAACCTTTTAGGGATATAGTGGAACACACCACAAGTCCTCCAATCCAGAGGGATTGTTAGTATTGGACTATGTTACAGTACATCTGACAGTGTTTTGCCCCCCCCCTCCTTCCACCAGCCCCTCCTCCCAGACAGAAGTCCTTGACCTTCAGATTGACTACTGGCTGTCCAGTCCGCCCAGGGAAGGGGGGAAGGAGAAGGACAAGGACAAGAAGGAGATGACCAAAGGGACGGTCAAGACATCAGTCAGATGGCTACAGGTAATGACCAAATTAGAACTGCCCTCAATGTATTGGTTGCATTTACAAACCCTTACCATCTGTTAAAAGGTTATAGGACATGAAAAATAGAACTCAAAAGTACTAGTAACATAACAGGTCCAAACTCTTAATAACTTATCTTTCGACAGAAAAGTTCTACTTTAGCAATATTATAATAATGTCTAATAAGTATATAGTTTTTTTTTTGTCAAAAATCTTCATTAGGCCACACCAATTTAATTTGTTGGTTCTCGGAATCGCCGCTTCAAAAAATCGCAAAATGAAAAAAAAAAAATTAATTCTTGTTACTCTCATCTCATCTGCCGATTTTTTTTGGGCCCGAACGTCCACCCGGTACGTTCTTTATATTTTGCACGGTACGTTTATTAATTTTTTGAAAATCAGTAATTTTTTTCGAGTACGCGTGACGTTTATAAACGCGTATTGTAGCGAGAAACTTGTCATTTTCGGGCCGGTTTTCGCGATCGCCGCGTGCATAAATTTGTCTGAATGTTCCATTGTCATGGGTGTTGCTCATCAAAATACGAACTCCTCAAAGCTCTAAATTAGAACAAATTCTAACAAACTAAGCAAGTCTATTAATATTTAAGATTTTTAGCTACCGTATTGTATTTGTCGATGTCGATTTACCGCAATAAAATCAAGAAATCGGGTAAAATATTTCACAGTCTTCCCCGTAAAAAATGAGACCTTCCGTTAACCCCAAATGACCTCTCCTTCATGCATGCTGGCGACGCCATGTTGGATATTTCTCGGCTTTCTTCACCACAGTTTTGGCTCATTTTTACGACAAAATCCCGGGTAATATCGCCCAGAAAATATCTGGAGCCCTATCTGGTCGCTAGAGAAGCATTATTTTCTAATTTTAGTGGATTTTTCCCCAAAAGAAATGTTGTCGTAGTTGTCGTAATCGACGCCAAGTTACGACATGCTGGGATGGTTCGCTGGGATTTTTAGGGGCCATTTTTGAGTAATCCGCGCACTTCGAAATTTTGTTTACTTTTATGATACGAACGCTAGCGAAAAAAAAAAACGCTGCCACATCATGCCCATATTCTTTATTACCCGGTACCCGTTGGATTTTCTTGGCCAACATTTGGCAACGTACTCACGGCTGGACTCAGACGGTGGGATTGGCATTTTGGCCGTCTCGGGACCGAAAACATGTGGACGCTGGACGCGTTAGACAGGTAGACGCAATGCAAGATTTCTTAACGCTTGAGTCGATGGGAAAAATTCAAGGGACCAAGAAAAAGTGGTCGTAATGGACGAGTGGTCTCTATACAGGGGTGGTCGTTATTACAGATTTGACTGTATGTATTTCCCAACAACATGACATGTCTACATTTGTACTAGAAATGCTCTCTTTGTTGTCTATTTAAATTCCTAATTGCAAATAACAGTTAAAGATTTGTGCATAACAGTTTCTAGTATATCAGTAAGAGCACATTTTAGTATAAGAGACACAGGTTATTTTGGTAAATTTTGGTAATTTTCCGGGGGGTAAATTTATTCCGGGGGGTATTTTTATTGGATTTTGAAAATTTGTCCGGGGGGGTACGTTTATTCCGGGGGGTATGTTTATTCGGCAGATCATTAACATCAATAATTGATCCTTGATACATAGGCTATAAAACAGCAATGTTTTAGCATGTATAGTCATAGCTTTGTTCTCAATCCCTTTTTCCAGCCTTAGCTTTACCATTTGGGCATGTTTTTTTTTGTTTTTTTCGCCCTGTCGCTTCACATTTTTCATGAAAAAATCCGAGAACCAACAAATTAAATTGGTGTGGCCTTAAAATACCTTTGTTCATTGTAGGACAACAGTTAGTTTACATGTAAAATGTGCGTGTCATCTTAATTTTTACCATTTTCGCCTTAGACTGTTATCCTGTGTACACTGACCCTCCCCCTTCCTGTGTATCGTACAGGTTAACCGGCTGCCAGTGAGCGGGGACGTGTCGGGATCCACTGGGACTCTCACCATGGTGCTGGTCACCAAGGAGAAGAAACAGAAAAGTGAGAAACCACCCTTAGTCACATTAAAGTTTCCTGTTATTTTGAAATTTTAAGGAAGAATAATCATTTCATGAACATTGCAGAATTTTAGTTTTTTTTCCTGATCTTTTTGTTGAGGTGCATTCCAAATCTTTTTGACATTGTCACACCTCATGTCAGTGTCGTCAACAGGATTTTTATATTACTTGTCTCCATCTCCAAGTTTCTTATGCTAGACACTATGACATGTGGTTCTACCAAGTGCAAACAGCACATACCCTTGTATGCATGTGTGCCAAAAGAGAAATCATATGCAACAGGAGTCATTCTGATGCAATGTTGACCAAACAACCATCACCACCATTTTGGGTATGTGCTAGTGCAGCCAAGGTTTGGAAAGTGGCTCAGACAGTGTGTCATGTTTCTGAAGCGGCCGCCCTGTTACGGGAGGCCGGTACAGGTCGGTAAGGCACGTACATGTAACAAGGTGCATCTGTTGTTTCTCAGAAGCTTACCAGCTAACCACCCATCATCTTAATGCAGTAATGCGAATAGGCAAGAAGGCTAAGGATAAGGAGGCAGAGTCAAAGAGTCAAACCATCGAGGCGGTCAACAGGTTGATTTGTACGTCCAAGAGCCAGAGCAGCCCTCTAAAAGGTAAACACCACACAGAGAACAGTCAGCTGCTAAAGTTGTTTTCTTTGTTAAAGTCAGTTTTCAAGTACCAGTAGACAAACTAAATCTGTGGCATGCTGTAATCAACATCTGTGGTGAAGTCTTCTGTTGTGGTTCCTAAAATAGATTCTTTTGTGTATTGATTAGGATACAAGATTTAAGTCTATCATTATGTCTATCATATGGTACCTCCTTGTATTGCTTGAGTGTCTGTCACTTTAGCTTGTGGATGTCCTTCCCTATACAGTAACCATCGATGGATCTGATTGGACGGGAGTGAAGTTTTTCCAGCTGTCTGCCCAATGGCAGACGCACATCAAGCACTTCCCTGTGGGCCTGTTTGGCCACACCGAGACAGCTTGTTAGTCAGACGGTCCCGACTTCAGCCCCAACGGAGTTCTGTCCAGCAAGGTGTCTCTCGGCTGCTGCTGCCAGCCTGTTCCTCTCCCTCCTCAACTCGTCAGCTGATCGCCGGTTATCGTGTTTAAACCTTCCGCTTTCTGCATCACATTGTGCCAGGCCTATGCCGACAACACAACAACTGCCCTACACCAAGAAAGCCTTTCCTTTCCTATTTTTTATTAACAAATTAAAATAAAGTAACATTTTTATAACTCATTGTTATACTTGCAAAGAGCCAGCCAAAGTGTCAGTGTACGTACCTTCTTTGCATTTTTACTTAAAGCTTGATTCATACCTTTTTTCCTTAAAAGGAATGTGTCAAAGCTAAATGCAGCATGGCACATTAGTGTGGCAGTACGGGTCTCGCACTAAGCTTTGGACACATCAAACCAGGTGAACAAGCAGCCCGGTTGTTGGACAGTAAGTCATTGTTACCTTCTGCGAGGGGTCATTGCAAAGACCATAAACGTCATGATACCTGTAGAATGTGTTTTCTCACAAGTGGACAAATCTTCAAAAAAGAACAGAGCGCTTAGAACAAAATGAATGACGACAGCCGGGGCCAATTTTCGGAAAGGAAGGGTATCATCAGATCTAGAACAAAGTGAAGGTAGATGGCCTCAAAAGGACTTTGGAGTATGTTTTCGCCAGGCAGCATCAATGTATATACTAAAGGGCTGAGTAGATTGAGGGATTGTGTCATAAGGCACTTAGTGCTTGTGTTCGTTTGTGTGCACACATGTGTGCATGCATGCGTGTGTGCATATGTGCGTGTGTGTGTCTGTGGTGTTCTGTACACCCTCGTACACTATAAGTGACTGTAATTGTTAAAAGTGGTTGTGCAAGAAGTTGGGACTAACTGAATGTGTAAACAAATAGTAAAGACGTATTATTAAACTAAATTGAAAGTACTAAGAGCACCTACACACCAGTAGATGTGCAATGTTGTCAACTAATTTTTATGTGTGGTATCAAATTAACAATTACTGTTAAAACGAAATGCTAATTGCTGCTTAATCTGCTTGTGATGTTCCTCAATTGTTTTGTAATGGCTCACCTGTAAATGGTTAAGAAAAATCATACTTAATGTAATAGGAACACTGACATACTAGAATATTATGTAATAATTATGGTAGTTGTAACTTTTGAAATTTTCTGTGTTTATGACACTACTTGTGCTTAATAATGATATATTGTTGTTGATCCTGGTAATTTGTAAGATAGAACAGAACTGCTAAATCTATTTTACAATCTTATTTCTTGTTATATTTATGTTCCTTCACAATTGTTTCCTCCAAACTTGGTTATTAAGTGGAACCCAATATTTCAGTGACATACATTGTACATGTACATTGTTTTGTGGATGACTTACTGAAGTTTGTAACAGTGTAGCACTAAGACTATACATTATAACTCTCCCACCCTTGTATTGCATATATTATTTTCCAGCCTGGTGCTGTGATATTACATGTAGTAGTATGTGTATTATTTTTGGGGGTGACGCCTCTGGGGCGTAGCTGTTTTGTACTTTTTATTTAAATCAGTTTGGATAACTTTGTACAATTTTCACTGACTTTTTCACTGACCTTTGTTAATATTACTATTGTTGTAGACAGTTTTGTGGATGACTCATATGTCTTTGTATGAATTATTGTAACAGTTATAACTAGTGTTGACATGTGTTAACAATATTGGCTGTGATCTTAGGATAGGGGCCATGACAGTGTTTGCTGATTTTTGGTGCTGAGTATAACGAAAGGACAAATGTGCATATGAAAGGTGCGACCATCACATGTGGAAAAGTTTTTTTTGTTTCTTTTGTTTTCCTTCTCCAGCATTACCAGTGACAACCCTGCAGATTTCTGCAAGTCTTCCATATGGGGAATGGTTTTTGGAATATGCCATTTATGTTTCAAGATGGGGGACAGGGTTGTGGAACACACAAAAGATGAGTTCTATCAACACTGATTCAGAAACAAGTTTGTAACTGTTGTCAATGAAATGAATACTTCAAATCAATGACATTAAAACCCATTAGATATAATTCTTAATTTATAAAATCCTCCCCCCAAAGGAACTAGAAGTGGACCATTCCTCATTAAAGCCATAAACACTTTGACTTGCCATAGAAGAAATATTGTATAGATCTTTCCCCAGAGATCCTCTATGCCATAACTTGACTCACCAGTTGATGTTGCAGTCCATGTGAAAATAGTATTTTTGCAAGCTTTGTGTTATTGTTGTAACTGCAGATTTGTGCTCAATTCATGTTTTATTATGTGCTTAGTTCATGTTGTGTTACTGAAATGATTGTCTACAGCTAATATCGCTAATTGAAGTAAAACGTTAAACTTTATTTCAACACACAATTCACAGGGATCAAAATTTCAGCGACCACTGTCGCCTTCATCAGGATAATTAAAGACCAATCACTTCACAACGTGATCTCGCAAGAGTTACGGTTTACAAACACGTTCACACGAGACTTTTATCCTGATGAAGGCGACAGTGGTTGCTGAAAATTTGATCCCTGTGAATTGTGTGTTGGAATAAAGTTTAACGTTTTACTATGATTACTACCAACACAGATGAACTTTCATGATAATCGCTAATTGAATTGAATAGATGGAATTTGGGACTGTACAACGGATGTAATGGTTAAAGTTGTCATCTTAAGCTGCATTTCCTCTGGAACCTGTGAGGGGGCGCTTATGTAGAACCATGCAGCAGCAGAGGGTCCCCATGTCATGGACAGTCAGGTTTAAACTCTGTACATTTTGGTGAGCAAGAGCAGCTCACTGTCAGACTACTCAGCACAAAATATCTCTTGTTCTCTCCTCTTTGTCTATTGATAATTAATGTCAGATTGAGGGCTTATAGTTCACGTAGGTGTACTATGTGCCAAAGTGCTATATGACAAAAAGTAATAGTACTAGAATAGATACCTGTATGCATTGGTCTTGTAAAGATTAGCACAGAAATGTTTATTTTCTTATAAGTACACGTCACTTCCTCTCATTGCATCTCTGTGTGTCTACCAAGTTACAGTTAAGAGTTTTACTGCTCCCTATAGCTAATAGTGTATAAGTAGTATTACAGGTTTGTTCAGTGTAGAATAGAATATTCATCAGATTTAACTTTACTGTTATGGTGGGAAATGTTGTGTATTGAAGTGGGATAGTTCATAGGGTCCGTACACTGATAATACTGTATTTGCCTTGTGCAACAGTGACATCTAGTTGGTGAGGCAGGTACTGCAACATCCCAATATCTTCAATTGGAAACACTAGCAGATAAGAAGACTTTGTTACAAGGACAGCTATTAAACACCTCTCAAGCCATGAGAAGCAAATACTACGCCAAAAACATGTAGTGCACTATGTGAAAGTTGCAAGTTTAACCAGATACATGATGTACAGACTTGTGAACTCCACTTATCCAGAATGAAATGACAGTTTTATACTCCAGTTACTATCATGTACAAGGTCAACATTATTGCTATCATTATCCAAGAACATTACTCAACACCTGCTTGGCTCACTGGATATTGCAGACACATTATATACATGGACTTCAAAGGAAACTGACTGGTGCTGGGTTTTTTTACTTCTCAATATTAGTGATAAGTTAGGAAGCTGAAGTAACAAGAAAACATGCTTTACAAATATGACTTTATTGTGGTGGATACAGAAACAAAATACACATTTGATTCAGAAGATAGAAACAATTTGATACCTTAATGTAGTAACATTTACGTCCATCATTTGAAATTTAGCATAACTTGAATTTTTCTTGGGTGGAAGTGCTACAATATGACATGATTGGAACAATAGCAAGAGATCATAAGTAAGACAGTCTACAGACACTCAGAAGTGACCTCATCACCTGGATGTGGTCAGTTTCAGGGCCTGTACAGTGTTGTCCAGACAACCGACCACCACCTCCACATTTCCATCCCTGTCCACATCTGCTGTTGCCATGGAAACGACCCAGTCTGGGGTCTTGTGCTGACAGACCCTCTGGGAAATATAAAAGGTCAATTTATAAAAGACCAGGCAACACTGACACCTTGCAACTTATATTAGTACTACAGTGACAACAAATACTACTAGTACCCCTGATGACTATTACTTGAAGATGGCAACAATTTACAAAACAAATTCCTCTTCTAGAGAAGCAAAGACAAGAATGAAAATAAACTCTAAAACTTGTTTCCCTTGTATTTATATCTTTATCTTTGTAGCTGAATACTAACTTAAACATAAAAGCTATAACTGGAAGGGGTAGTGAATTTTGGGACAGACCAGAAATGATCATGAAGAGGGGTTGTGCTACATGTACAATGTATGTTGGAAAGACCTAACAGCATGGTTTGATTGCCCCCCTCCCCTCCAACAGAAAAAAATTGTAACAAGAAAAGAGGAAAGGAAAAACACTGAAATATTTTTTTAAAGGGTGATATTACTTTGCCAGGACACCTCACCCCAATCAACCATGGTTTACCCCACTAGTTGATGACATCACAGAGGTGACTGACCTTGCCTGCCTGGTACACAAATAGGGCATTGAAGTGGCCAGCACACAGGATGAAGTCCTCCTGTCCCGGTATGCTGTCTTGTACACACAACAGCTGTGTCAGGGGCAGCTTCACATTGCTGTACTCCACCACTGACACCTGTGGACNGACATAAACGTTA